TGTCACATTAGCATAATTACTAGCTAGCCGCTAGCTGCTAACTGCCGCCTCGTTAATATCAAATCCATGATAACAACAATCCATTACCATGCTGTCATGAACGTGCGGTGCTGTTACGCGTACGCAAATTGACGTGCTTGATGTGAACGAGCATTTTGGTTAAAGTTGCGCATGCGCTATGAGCGCACATATGGGTACTTCTCAGGCATGCCGGGTAATCTGTGACGTTTCACTCTCTCAAAAGTTGGGCCATTTTATCATCATGCGCCAATGAGCAACTCTCATAGGAATGAATGGGGCCCCGCCTCCCACGCTGTATCCAGTTCTTATTATACATCCATGCTCTTAGCACTCAGAGCTTACAGCTCTTCATATCTGTTCAGAAACTAGACAAAAGTTAAACAAGTACAAACCACAGACTACCTGTGTCATGGCGAATACAGTCGCTGGTTTATTTATGTCTGTATAGGCCGTTGTTGTGAGTGTGGACGGTCGGAGCATATATAACGTTAGCTTAGCCAAGCTCCATTTAGAAAACACGCATTTTAAAAGGGGTTTTCGCCTGCCGTCTGTCTGCAGACTTGTCAAAGCATTAATTCATGGTTTTTACTAACCGGTATCAGTATGTTGTTACTTCGGCATCATTTTGAAACGTGTATTACAATTAAATCACGGTCAAATATGTTCATCTTGTTGTAGTTGTAGCCCCCTTGCCAGCGATTCTCTCTCTAGTTTAGCATACTCAGCCTGGTTGTTCCTGGCCCTAGAACCATGATTTTATGGGGCCAGAAAAACTGTGAATTAGGACCCGCTAGCCGGTACTAGGCCAAGTGGAAACGCAACCAAAAACGGGCCCTGCACGGCTCGGCACGCTTAAAGCGAGCTACCCGCTGCAGTGGAAACGCGCCATAAGAGACCTTTAAAGTAACACACTGATTTTCAGACAAAACACATTTATTTCAAAATGGTGGGATTTACCTGCTTACCATTCCATTTTGTCACTACTGAAACGATCATGTCAATTACCGAAACTTAACCATATGTTTCAGTAGTGACGATTCTAGCTCAAATTGAGCATAACTAAAGAATGCTAGCAAGTACATGGCTAGCATACACGTCTTTGAAGAGGTTTACACATATAAGAACCAAATACTTTGCATAAAACCCCGAAAAAGTTTACTTAATTGAAGATAATATGTGTTCGGTAGTGACAATTCTTAAGGTTACACGCCGATTTTCAGATTATGGAACAGATATCAAAAGTATGGGATCAAGCTACTTGTGGCTAAAAACCAGGCTCACCCATTGGACTAAAACCCCTTCTGTTTCGGTAGTGACATGAAAACTGGGAACATGATTTTTTTAGTATAGTTTTTTTATTAAAAAATTAAACCCACAATAAATCGAAATATTCCAACTTCTGTTTGAATGTTATCATAAAGATCTTCTAAATACACCATTGAACAAAATAAAAATGTTTTAAGTGTTATTTACAGAAATTGAAATTTAGATGTCAGGGTTGGGGACAGCTACTTCCCAATAGAAAGAACCCTATATATATGATGTTTTTGTATATATTAAGCTTATCACTATATAATGTAATGCCTTATGTTTAAATAGACCATAACATATTCTTAGTAAATATCTATGTCTGAATAATTGTTTTGTTAAATAGTTTTTCTTGTCGTGGGACCGCACTTTGTACTAATTCGGTAGAATGCCCCATATATGTATTATCTATCAATCATTCCACACAATGGGGTGGACACTGACCTGGAAGTTAACACTAGCTCCACCTGCAGACTCTCCAAAGACGGTGATCCTCTCAGAGTCTCCTCCAAATGAGCGGATGTTCCTGTTCACCCAGCCAATGGCGGCGTGCTGGTCCCAGAGACCGTAGTTTCCTGACGAGAATCAAATGTTTCACTTAATAACGGAAGTTTAATGGTATGTTAAATTGGCAGGAATGTCAACATTTATTGAGATCTGTACAATTTGTCACTTTTGAGAAAAAAAGCTGGCACCAACCAGGGAGGTCTGACTCTCCAGTGCTCAGGAAGCCCAAAGCTCCCACACGGTAGTTCATTGTCACCACGATAACATCTCCTCTGTCTGCAATCTCCTGCCCGTTGTACAGATAGTTTTCCAGGAAGTTAATTCCCATCGAGCCTCCAGCCAGGAAGCCTCCGCCAAAGATCCAGACCATGACGGGCAGACCGGTGGACACTAAAAGACAGGGAATATTAATGCCATTCATAGAGTAGACCTAATATGGAAGACCGTTTGTAGAGTTTTCTCAGTCTTTACCTGAGCGGCCGTGAGGAACCCAGATGTTGAGGTAAAGACAGTCCTCACTGCCTCTGGTATCAGTCATCAAAAGGTTCACCTGAATGCATCTGTTCCTGTACTCTGTGGCCTTCAGGACACCTGAGGACACACACAGTGTTAGAGCAGGGGTAGGAACATTTTAAATCAGGTTCAAGCACTTTATGTCTGTAGTTGGTAAACATTATATTGCACACAAACAACAGAAAATACCATGATTGGTATTTTCTTGTTTGATTTGTCAGTAACTTAGTTAAAATGTTATTAAATTACATTTTTAAAAATCATCATGGACTCCTCTTTCAAAGTGGGGCTCACAGGGGGCCAAGCTCAGTGTTACAGGAGTACTGGCCCCTGTTGGCCCCCCTTTAGAGCCACCCATGCGCAGGACAGCAACAAAGGATGATAGGATGATTTTATTTAATCTAATGCACTGCTGTAGATTAAGGGATTTTAAATAAACACAACATTTTACATCTATTACATTAAACATACACAGAAGTAATACTGCTCCACTCACCATCCCAGCCTGGATGACGTTTTGGTTTCTCAAATCTTCCTGGGATGTCAGCAAAAGGAATCCCCCTGAAGACGTCCATGTGGCGGCGGTAACCAAGACGGATGTTCTTGCCCTGCACCTTACCTCCATCTGTGTCCACCACCCCGAGCTGCAGAAATCACACACAACATTCCTTTAATTTATTCCTTTTTTTACAGTGAAGTGTAACAATGAAAGTTGTCACAGATATATAATTATATTTTCTCCAATAAAATATACCTATCAGTGTTTGATGATTAATGATTGAAAAAGTGAAGACTTGAATACTATTAAAGAGATACTGAAAAGAGTCAGAATATTATAATTGTGACACTTACAGAGGTCGCAGAGACCGTCTCCAGGAACACAGCAACAGCTACCAATATCCCAAGCTTCAACATCTTGATGGTTGGAACTAGGTTACCTGAGGTTGCCTGACACTTTTATAGAGACCTCCTCCCCTACATGACGCCTGATCAGAAGGAGTTACATAACATGTAATATTGAACCGCCCTGTGTCCAAAGCACTTTCTTTGATACATTTTAGTGATGACTTCAAACACTTGTTTAACTAAATCACAATTTTTTTATTGATCACACATAAACCTTTCTGTTTTCTATGACCTATGTAAAAGGATATTTGATTGGCTGAGCTTAACATGGTTGTTACTTGTTACTTGTTAGACGCTTTTATCCAAAGTGACTTACATACTCAATACTGTGGACAATCCCCACAGGAGCAATTTGGGGTGAAGAGTCTTGCCCAGGGACACGACATGCTGACTGCAGTGGGGTTTGAACCTGATCCGAACACCAACGCACTATTTCACTGTGCCACACGCCTCACGACAGTTGTTTTCTTATTACATATAAAGTTGTACAACCTTAACTGCCAACATGCAAACTCCATTCATTGGACTGAGCCGAGGCGAGCCAAGAGCATGGATGTATAACGATAACTTATCCACTGATTTGCAGACGTCTCCAAATGTACTTTCCAAATGTAACTCAATGGGAAAAAGTTTGTTTGGGCCCAATGACCTCACATACATTTAAGTACCAGCGTTTGGCCACTATGAACATTTGCTCCAACGTCCGGCACACTTCCTGGGGACGTAGCAGAGAGCTGGAGCGCATGCTCTAAAAGCAAAAGGCCCCAGATGATCCGGGCACTTTCTGAATCTAGTCGCTCCATTTTGGGCTTGAGTATGAAGCGCCACTGAGCACAGAACTTGTTTAGCACTAAGACATATTCGTCACACCAGGTGACATTAAGTTATTGGGCCATGACTGAATCATCTTCGATTTCAATGTTGTTTTCATGCACACAGGCGACCCAGCAGAAACATTTATTAAATCGAATAAAATGTTCGCTTCACACTAATCCATTACACAAAACCCCAGATTGAGACTCAATTCGAAATGGTATTTCAGCCTAACGTCTAAGATATGGGGTTTGGTATTACAGGGCTGTAGAGACAAAAAAAATGCAATAAATAGCAATCTAGCTATTCCCCTAAAGGTTTATTAATTCCCATATAGTGCCATATAAGAACATTTCCTGTTTACAATCTCTGTCGGGCCTTGCAGTTGTTTATCAGGAGGCCAGCGCTGCTGAGTTGACACAGCTGTGCAACAATCCACAAACAAGCATCCTCATGGATGTGCCAAAAGCACCTGTACAGACTGGATTTGTTCATTTTTAACAGGGGGGGGACCAATCAGAGCGCTCCCCGTTGCCACACCCCCTGTACACACCTCCCAGTCCCACAGGATACTGTAGCACTCTCTCTGCTACTATGGAGAGAGGGCTTGTAAGGTTAACAAGGGCCCCCTGGCCTCGTATAGCATGTGGATACAACTGTCTTACTGGCAGAGGCTGCGGCGGAATAGGGTTCGAATCCAATTTACTCGTATCATCCCCTCTGAACGGCACTTTCAAAACAATCTTAAAACAATAAAAACGTTTTACATAGAATAATACATTTGTAACACTGGTAAATAAAGGATAGGTATGTGAAGCATGTGGCACTTTCAAGGTATTTGCTTTGACAATGTTGCGTATCTCTTATGTCAGAATTTTGAATCCTTTCAGTTGTACCGTATAATCCAAAAACATAATAGAAGACAAAACCACTAGAAATACTTTCTTTTTTATTTAGATTTAACTGAAAAAAATAATACAGACTTATCAACTCTATCAGGAAATGGCTGTCTTTTGTTACATGTAGTCCAGAATTTCTGTCTCCATCTCGTTTTCGCTGCCCTCCGACGGCAGAAACTCATCGTCCTCATCCTCGTCTTCGTCATCCTTGTTGTCGTTCTCTTCCTCTGAATCAGAGCCTCTCCCCGGGGATATTGCAAGGCCTTTGCGTCTGCGTCTCTTGGGGAGTTCTGGCATGGCTGAAGGGAGAGAAATTAAATCAGAACCAATTCTCCAAGGGTTTTCTGTCCATATTTCAACAAACATTAGGATGTACTTCCTCAATGGTTAGTATCGAGGTATAAAGCAGCATTTTTAATTAGCTTAGTCTTAGCTACCGAAGCCTTATTAGATTGTTATGCTTCTAGTATTTTTCGTCTTGTAAATGTAACCTTAACAATCTTTGTCCTAGTTGTCCATGAAGACATCCCGAGTAAGAGCAGCCATTCTTTGTAATGGATGTTTTCCTTACGTGGTTTACTGGCTCGGATGACCTTCTTGATCATGGCTGAGATCATGTCCCGCAGTTTGTCCGTAGTGCCGAGGACACACCAGCCGTCCCGCTCGTCACAGGGCAGATCCTCATCGGCAATCTGAGCGATCACCTTTTTGATACTGGAGACACAAAAAGCTGAATCACAGACACACACTGGTGCATATACACATTTTCTCCAGCATTGTTAGTACAATTTAGAGGTGCTTGTTCTTTTCCCTTACCTGTAGTGTGTTATATAGGTTTTAGTGAATTTAAATGGTCTACAAAGGCTAAAATCCCAAAGTCCCTCCAGAGGGAGTTTCTCTCCCACACACTGTCCCCTGATATGAGTTTCAGAGCCCATATTATTTAGTGAAGTGAATACTAGAAAGAAGAATACACCCTCAGCAATTTAACGTACCTTTCCACATCCAGATCACAAAGCTGGTAGAACATCTGTCTGTGTGGAGGCAGCATGCCCTCTTTGAAAATGTAGGATGACTCCTGTGAGGATTAAACACAAAAAAAACGTTGTCTAAGGAAAGTTTTCCATCACTTTATTCTTCTATTTAGACTCAAACAAGTAAAGCAACCCTTGTTATCTTCTAACATGAATCAACATTTAGCAATCAACAATCAACAAAATCTCAAGATAGGAAGATATTGGATAGATAATGACAAAATGTAAGATATAACGACAAATCAGTTCCGCCGAAAAATAGTATAAAACTAGCATGTTAGCACCATGCTGCAGCATTGTCCTATCACTCCAGTTACTGAGCTTCAGTAGAGGAAGAACTCATCTGACTTTTACTTGAGTAAAAGTAGAAATACAAAACTGTGAAAGTACTGCTAAGTATAAAAAGTCAAAGTACAAAAGTTTTGGCATTAAAATATACTTAATGTACCAAAAGTAAAATAACTTATTCTGCAAATTAGCCCATTTATGACGCATTCATGTGTTCATAACAGCTTGTAATAGTGGAGCTTATTTGAATTACCAAACAATCTTAACCTATAATAATAAAACATGGTTTGTTTGATAGTTTATCTATATTTTGTACAGTACTTGGGTAAATGTACTTCATTACATTACACTACAGCTGAACTCTCACTGACCTTCAGCTGGTAGGAAATTGGGGTTGGGTCCCGAGTGGAGCCCAGACCCTCCTGCGCGGGAAGCTCCATCACACTCGCAGCCTGAGGACCTGGGGGAAAAACACGATTTTTCCAGAACATTATCAGTGAACATTGGAAACAGTAGCGGGAGGATGGAGATTGTTTTACAGATTCTCAGACACAACGTTTCAAATCGATGCTGGAACTTTTATAAAGCCATATGCTTTTTCAGAAAGAACCGGAAACCACGTCTGAACTTTACATATCTCCTTTATATAGTTTGTCTACATCCACTCACCTGCTTTGTTCATTGTGATGGACAGGTTGTAGTTCAGAGCGCTCCTCTTGGCTTTCACTGGCATGTCAGATAATGAATACCCTGAAGGTGTAAAGAAAATAAACAGGGCCAGATGGACATTTTTCTTAATCTTTGATGTTAAAAATGGAAAAAACATGATAACGGTGAACTGGAAAATAACCTTCTGGTAGATAACGATGAGTTCCTCTAGTTCAGGGGTGTCCAAACTTGTTTCACCGAGGGCCACATACAGAAAAATATACGAATGGCCTACAATCAAATGTAGGTCAATGATGCTTGTGAGTGTTGGCAGCTCATCCCTTAAAACAGAAGCCTCAGATTGATTATAATAAGGAGAAATAGGAAGGGTGTATTTCAAGTTTTCTATGTAAATAAGTCATCGGGCTTTTTGCTTATCAACTAAGATATGTTAGAAAATGTTTCCAACTTTAATTGACTGAATTTATGTGGAAATTGGTCTTATTAACACATGAATACTACTGTGTCAGTGTTTCCCCTACCATTGTCTTGGAGGGGCGCTGCGCCCCGTCAACGGAGCCCCGCCAACGGAGCCCCTCCCCCCCCTGAAATTCAAGGTGTTTTAAAAAAATAAAAATAAATTATAATTTTGTTTTTCATTTGGAACCAAATTGCAAATAATCTATATCCACTGTCACTTTTCACATTGAACATGTGCTCTTTTATTAAATAAACTAAACACTTTCATTTTAAGTTGTGAGTTTAGTGTTTTTGACCCTAAGAAACACTGATGCACTAATCCAGTGGTTCCCAAACGGTGTGCCGTGCGATGTTGTGACAACCATATGTTATTATTGCAATATACAACTACACAAAAATAATTATGTTTTCATTTACTATATCAGTACTTTGTAGGTTTATATGTACGTAATCTGCGCGATTTGTGCATCCACATCTCCACGTGCAGTGCTGCATAAACATGGCTGAGTCAGCGATAACTTTCATGGGGTGGAGGTATGCCCATTACTTTGAGTTCGTCCGAAGAATAGACAGGAATGTGACGGTGAGGTGCAAACTGTGTCCAGGCCAGAAGCTGTTATCCACTGCTGGAAACACCACGTCAAACCTCAACAAGCACCTGCAAAGAACACATGCTAAGGTGAAGCTAACGCACACGCTATTTGTTGTTTGTTTATATCACGCAGTCTGTTCTTCTTCTCTGTCTTCCGGTTGTTGCCTGTTTTGAATGACAAATACACACTACCGCCGCCTGCTGGTAAGGAAAGTTATTGCCACTCACGCGCAGTTCGTACGTGCTCGGCGAGTAAAGTAACGAGTAAAGTAACGAGTTACTCTATGTAGATAGTAACGAAGTAGTGTAATATATTACTTTTTTTTAAAAAGTAATATGTAATATATTAAAACATTTTAGTAACGACCCCATATCTGGAGTTGGCGTTCTCTACTCTGATTTACATGAAGAACAACAGGAGGTCACGGCTCTCTGTTGAACAGGACTTGCGAGTGGCCCTCTCCTCAGTGCCACCAAGGATTAAAAAATTCTGCGCGCCCCGACAGGCACATGCATCTCACTAATTTGTAAGTCGGGAAAATATTTACAATAGCACATGTTTCAATGCTGATTGCTGAAATGTTACATTTATAATTTGTAGTTCAGGACCATGGACAATGCAGCTTCCTTGCATTGACACTCTGTGCTGAATTTCTGCTGAGTTTCCTTTGCCTCATTTTTAATGTTGTGACCTGTCTGGTTTAAATGAGTGTGTTGCTGCTTTGATGAAGCCTAATTTGATAAAGTTTCAAATTAATTTCTGAAATATTTCGTTAATAAATATTTCATGAGTAATATAGTTGTCTTTGTCACATTTTATTTGGCATTAGTAAATAATTATGCACATTTACAGATATTTTACATGATATGAGTGATAACACGTGTTATAAGGGCTATTTTGCACAATAGGTGTGCCTTGAGATTTGTACTTGTCCTTTGGTGTGCCTTGGGCACAAACAGTTTGGGAACCACTGCACTAATCAATAACAATAATCCACAGCTCCTCTCTCTGCTCCAGAGGATTCAAAAATATATATATTCCAATGCACCCCCCCGCTCAGGCAGCACCCCCCAAAGCAGTAAACCTAGGGGAAACACTGTGTTTAATATATTTTTACATTTATATTTAAGAAGTACAACATAAGACAAGCACAAGTTTAATTTGTGGGCCATATTCCATTATACTTTTTTTATTTGCTGAGGGCCGATTTAAAATGGTCCGCGGGCCGCATTTGGCTCCCGGGCCGTAGTTTGGACACCCCTACTCTAGTTCTTACCATGCTTGGTGCTACAGCGGATCCTGAAGTCCAGTAGCTGGTATTTCTTGGACTCTTTGGTCTTCCGGGGGTCATAGCCCAGCCTCACCCACAGACTCCTCCACGGCCCTGTCACCTGCAAGAGCAAATCTGATGTTTCACTTTCTTGTGGGTAGGAAAAAATCTTCCTCTTCAATTTAGTTGAATCATTGCTTTGGTAAGTTAACATTGTACTTCCTTACTTTCTTTACAAAACACTGCCTCTATGAAGCTCATAGTATTTGTTGACCCAAAGGATTTTTTTCTTGGAATCCTCAAAGGGACTCTACTACAAAGGATTTATTTTTGGCTGGAAATCTATTTCTAGAGATGTATTTTCTATTATATGACATTTTAGTTCTTCTTGTACAAAGCAACGACTCCCTGAGGCTCAATTCTCCTCTGAATAACATCATGGAATATGCACCTAATGGCATTTTCCTCCCCCCCCCCAACTGTTTACCAGGCACGCTGTGTCCCTCAGCTCACCATGTAGTAGGCGAAGACGGGCAGCAGCAGTTTCAGTTTATCAGGGTGGATGTTGATATTGGCCTTGACTGCGTTCCGGGACCAGATGGGCCGGGTCTCAAACATCTAAGGACAAAAAAGTTTGGCTTGAGATTAGATACAAATTTGACCTGTGTGATGTTACATAAAATCATGTTTAATGTGACAAGCAGCTAGTTCTTGAGTCAAAACAGTTGTTTATGATAGTCAATGGTGAACATGCTTGCAAACATGGATGTTGAATATGCAGGTTTAAAAATCTACAAATGAAAAATCCAGCCTTGCAATTGGTATATGAGGAAGGGGATGAATTGAAGGTGTATGCACAGAGATAGACAATGTGTTTTGGTGAATAATACCAAAAGTATTTTAAATATATTTTACTGTTAAGAGAACAGGGAAGGAAATATAAGGGCTGCAACTAATGACTGCCCACTGTATTGTTAAACACATTTATTTTCAATAAAATCGCAGAGAATATTGAAAGAAGAACATCACCATATTATTATATTAACATTATGTTATTAAATATCAAATGTCAGTAATTGGGTTTTTTGGAGCCATCGTCCACAACCAAGATATCTATAGTAAAATGATATAAAACAGAGAAAGGAAGCAAACACTCACGATTGGTAACCAAAAAACAATAATCTTTCAGCAACAGAACAACATGATTAAGAACTGTCAGGCTAAGAACTCTTGCTGTAAATTAATTCATTTTAAAATTAACATTTCGCAGTTTTTAGCCCTTTTCAATTAAAAATATTTTTTTGGATACTGGCCTCTCCTGCTTTATTAAAATACTTAACCTAATTCAAACTTCATTATGTTTTTTCTTAATCATTTTTCATTATACTAGCAAGCCTCTATGTTTTCTGATTTCATTAAGCAGTAACCATGACTGCAGCAGCACACATACCTGTCTCAAATGTTCCTCGGCCTGCTTGTCGCTCTCCTTCACGCAGACTCGCTTCCAGTTGAGTTTCGCCGCCTCGAGGCACTCGCCAGGGACGGTTGGGTCATTGAAGCTGAAAAAGATGGCGTTGTGGGGCCGACGAGCTCGATTCAAACCGATGAAGTTGCTCTTGTTCAAGGGCTGGCTGTGAACAGAAAGGAGAAGAAAAAGTGTGAACGTTTTCCAGATACGCTGCATTAGCACAGTGACATTGAAAATTAATTAATTAATGTTTTTCCCTTACGCTATATTTTGATTGACGTCAGGTCGGAAATAATAATCCACCGGGGTGTCGAGGCGGGAAAAGCTGGCCGGGGGAATAAACAGGGGAATGGGCTTCTCAAAGAAATCTTGATTCTCGGGTTTGCGCAGGATGATTTTATCGTACAAAGAAGTGTCTTTTCCACCTTCTGAATCAACAGCGAGGCACTGGAAGTCTGCCATCCCTGCACAAAAACAAATGTAATCAATATATGTGAAGAAAAAGTCAAAGAAAATATCTCACATCAGTGAAAGGGGAAAACACTTCTCTACACAATAAGGAGGTTAAATTAAACCTTGGAATTTGTATGTTGTTGCAATGACTCCCAGGATATCCATGTGGATCTCAACGTCTTTGGGGTCCTTCTTTCGCACCCGACGCCGCACTCTGAGCACCAGGTTGCTCGATGGGTAGCGGTTTCCACACAGGGAGTGACAGAAAGGATCTTGAGGTCGGAAACGCAGCTCAAGACGCCTGTTGGGATGAGCAAAGGTCTGTGGGATTCACAGGAAATGCAGACAGGTATCAGATTAGTGCAGTTTAGAAATTAAGTGTCTAAAGACTTGTGCATTTGTTTTCAAATCGCCAGAGAATGTATTTAGAGGTATATGAACATTTTAATGAAAATGGATTGTTCAATTTTATTTTGAGACTTGAATGATGCATCTAAATATAAAAAATGCAGTTACAATATGTATAGTGTCCATTGTTAATATTCATGTTCAAATTAGATTCAAAATGTTTATGTTGTCCAACAATAAGAAGCCATGCTTTTCTAAAGTTAATGTCAAATGGCTTTTCAATCTTTATTTCTTCATTTTAACATATCATGTCCATGCTTTAAATGTTTATGAAATTATTCTTGAATTTAAATTGAATTTGCTCACCCAATAATACAAAATTGTATTTTAAGCTAGTCCAAAATGTTTTGAAATGTAGCATTTTGACTAACATGAAGTTTTATATCAGAATACTCCGACATTCCATCATATAAGGCAGTGCTTCTCAAAGTGTGGTCCGCGGACCACTGGTGGTCCGTGAGCGCCCCCTAGTGGTCCGTGAGTATATTGGTAAAATTTCACATTTTTAATTAATTAATTAATTAAAGTTTTCCGCACTCTCGCGGGAATATCTCCGCAATGGAGCGAGATTAAGTTTAACTTTCGATTGCATGATATAACCCAGATAAACACCTTCATCACACATGTTGCCACTTGTTTGTAAAATTTTCAGGCGATTTGTAAAAAACGATGTGTTTTTGGATATTTGTGGAGTTAGGTGGTCCGTGAGTGTTTTTGTATTGGTTAAGTGGTCCTTGGTATGAAAAAGTTTGAGAAACACTGATATAAGGTATACAACACCAATGACTATATTATATCATGTTTGCACAGCAGGGGGCCAAATCCGGCCCCGGGGTGATATTTACTGGCCCTTTGAGTATAATGTTAAAAAGTAATATACTTTTTTTGTATTACAGAGAGGGTGTTAAATTGAGAGATAGAGGGGAAGACATTGCCTAAAAACTTCGGCGGGCTTGGGTTTCGAACCCACCTACTAGCTACTGTAGTGACAACTCCTGTCATTTATTGCATCTCTGCGTGAATGATTATGGTTCATATGGATGTTGATGGTTAAAGTAGCTTCACATGTAGGCCTACTGAGTTCTGAACTTGCCATTTAGATCTATAAAGGCCTTGGGGCTATGTTGTTTGATTTAATTAAAGACAATATATGCACTCCACTATGCTGTTGTAGTATTTACTGTATCTGAAGCTCTTAATATGATTGCTCATTTTTCATCAACCCCATTCCAAACTAATTGAATAGCCCTGGCATACAGCATACTGTTAACATTAGGATGATATTTTAACATACGTCATAATTGAGGGCATTTGAATACAGTCTAAAATGGATAGCATAATAGTGAACTGTGACGGCTTGTAGGACTGTTTAAAGTCACCCCATTTACACTTGTAGGACGTAAGAGCAACATCAGTGTGTCCCAGTGATGGTCTGCTTACTTTGGACACGGCTCTTTCCCCCCCGAGAGTCTCCAGCATCCTGTCCACGCTGCTGACCACCGCCGGGTACTCCACACACACCAGCCTCTGGTCCTGCAGCTCCACGCTGGACGAGCTGCCGGGGACAGCCTCCTCAGCCTGCGGGGACAGAGTGAGCTCCTTCAAGATGAAGTCCAGCTTCAGCTCCTTGTTCTCCGACATGCTGGATGATTGAGTTGGGATATCCATGCAGACACATTAACAAACATGTAGTTAAACCATAAACTAGAAGTAAGAACGCGCGCTCAATTAATTACAGCAGTGTGTGTCCATGTTCAAAATAACACCGTGCGGAAACAAAGTTCAGCTAACGTTGGTTCCGCAGGCGTACGTCCCCTATCGTAGATTGGGTTTCTCTGTTTAATAAATTCAGGGAATTTACCACTCATTTGAATATGTATATAATAAAAATAAAAACAAAGTGATGTCGACATTTATCTTGATTTTTTTTAATTCGACCATTAAATGTGGCCATTACCGATACTATAACTTATCCATATACTGTACGTAAACAATTTGGAAACATATTATCATTAAACGCAACAGATATGTATTTAAATGCTGAGATTCAACTCACATACCAAAAAGACATGTAGAATCATATAGCCTATGATTTAATTACATTTTGTAGTTTTTTGACTTGATATTATTAATTTGATATTGTTAAATACTGTTTTTAAATTATGCAAAGACATTATCACATTTGTACGTCACCCGGCCTATACTCGCACCTTTTTTTAAAAATCAAATAAGTAAAAACTTATTTTAAAAACCTGTAACATTGAACTCAATGCGTACATTTGACCACGAGATGGCGCTGTAAAGCCAAATAAAATATATGATGGAGAAAACCCTCAGGCAGTGAGAATACCATGATGCCTCCATCAAAATTAAACAACTCAAGTAACTGAATTACTTTTCTTGAATACTCTGTGTCCACTTGAATGATCGGTCTTCTTACTATTATTTTATATTGAAGATCAAATACAGCCATTTTATTTAATCTTTGTATTATCAGAAAGAGACACTCTTTTGTGACCTTTGTAAAGAGGTCCCTCCCAGAAACTGTCAGCAGACTGTCATCCCCTCAGAGAAGAGGACTTCGAAGAAAAAAAGTTTTGTTTACCAAGTGATATAATATGTTGTTATAAAGGTCACTTTAATGTGAGGTGACACTGTGTTTACTTAGATTCTAGTTTGTCTTCTTCTCTTGTGCCTTTAAGGGAGTACAACGCTTAACATTGTTTTCTTAACCAACTTATATTTGTTTTTTAATGTTTTTCTCTTCGTGTTCTTGAGTGGGCCATTTTGGTAATGACTGCTGGAATGGTGCATTCATGTGCAGTTGTAGGGATTGGGAAAATAACTTCCCTTATTGAAGGCCAGCTAATGTGATGTTGGTGCTGGAACTATCGAGTTATCAGCCTCTACGTTAAGACAGGCCTGGAACATGTTTCACATTAGCTTAAAGATGTAAAGCAGTGAGTATAGAGGATGTCCTCCAAAAAATACAAAGTTATCAAATTCACATTATGTTTTTCCAACATGCTGCTGCTTGTAAATACAATATGGCAGATTTGGAGTTCCATTGAAGTTATTTATTTTTGATTGTTTGTGAAAACTGTTTCCCTTTGCATCAATTACTAACCCGAAGAAGAAATGCCTCCACAATGAAAAACGTAATAAAGTCTTGATAAATGTAGTCAATTAAGGTGGTATTTAACTATTGTTAAACAGTACTCACACCAATATAAAACTGCTTACATAAAAATGAATTGTGAATATTTAAGTTTAGCATAAATGCTACATGAGTTGTGGGACAATTAAAGAAGTTTGAACTTTTTCGTTTTTTAAAACATAGCCCAAACTTAGTTCAATTCATTATAATTTTAAATGTTTTGGGAAATCATTTTATTCAACATAGAGGCATGCCAGCAATACAAATTGTTTATTTAAATATGAGTCACCCATCTGATTCTGTGTAAGATTATTTTTTGGACTGCTCACATTTGCACAGGTGTAATCAATAATATTAACGATGGCTCTCTGATTGACCTACATGGCTCACTGTGATAGTTGAGCCATCGTTAGCATTATCAGTGACACCTGTGCTTGCTCTGCTATAGCACTCTGCTACGACAAGGTAAAAATACCTGCAGTGAAAAGGGCTCATGGCCTTAGATTAGCTAGACAACTTCAACAACACTGGACAAGAACCAATGATGGCTGAAATATTTGGCAGTTCCCCTCCATCTTTGATAGAAACAGGTTTGCTCTGAAATATAAACTAGAAGACTCCCTTCATTGGTTTTCTTGGTTAAGTCTTCCAATTCTGACGAAAACACTGTTAACTATGATTGCTTTGTTTATCTGTTTCTCAGCAGGACCAGGAAAAACTACCAAACACATTTTCATGTAACTTGAAAGATGGGTGTAGCATGGGCCAATGAAGAACCCATAAAATGTTGAAGCATGTCCGAACTAATTTGAATCAACTTAGTGAGCACTATCAGAGCTTCAATAAAAACATAAATGGTGACGTCCAGCCTGGCTTATCACACTGTGAAGCTCAGTGTTCTGTGGTATGGATATACGGAGGAGGGGACAAAAGACTGACAATCTGTTGTGTTATGTGGTAAGGATTTCAACTTTTTTTTCTGTCTCTTCTCTAGGGGGCCCTCGTCCATCGAACAGTGTTCCAGCTCTGGGTGCTATCTCAGTCAAAGGCCTGTCCAGTCCTCCCTGCACACAGCAGGCCTGTTCCAGCCGTTACAGTGTGGGGAGGCCATGATAAGGTTATCAGACGGTTACTCTGAAAGAGCCTGCTGCCTTCAGATTTCCCCCTTCTGACACTCACTCTGACTTCTCACTCAGCGTTTCCCCTCTCCTGTCATCCCTTCTCTCAGCTTCCGGACATCCAACGTTTCTGACTTGGGTTTGCAGCTGGCTGTATGTTAGTCTGAAAGTCTTTCTGTATGCATAACAATATGAGTATGTGGTGTATGCATTAAGCCACACCTAGGGCCTTGTCATCTTCTGTATGCAAAATCCAAGATTATTATAGCTCATTGCTTGCGCTGCACTCTTGCAAGTCATCTGTAGTTTTCATTGTTTATATAAGCACACATTTCATGCTACCAATGCTGTTTTTTTAGATGCTACTCTTAAATTGCCAATGTCTCATTTTGATCCATTTAACTGGTTAAACAATATTCTACACCATGATAATTAAAGAGGCCTGGAAATGAAAAGATCAACATATTAACTAGCTTAAATATTATTTGTCCCCTTTTATCCTGCCTTGAACCTTCAGATGTAACCATTGTAGTGGACGTTATCCCTAGGTTTGGAAACACTGCATGGTATGATGCTTCGTGTAAACCTTCCCCATGAAATGTGTTGCTAAAGTCAAAGATTTTCTTTTCAGATTCATATTCATTATAAATCAGTATCAAGTAGTCAAATTTGTATGGCATGGTTTGCCGTTATGAAACACTTCTGGCAGGGAAACATAGGGCAGAGTTAGGTGTATGGTTCCTGTACACGTGGCTTCCATCCAAGCCAGTATCAGCACTCACCACCGCTGACATATTTTAAAGGCGTGACGATTGATTTATCTTTTGCTGGGAATGCAAATGCATTTTGTGAGGCATACATTTAAATGGAGCCTGTTTAATAAAGAGTCCACAAAGAGTCTGAAGTTCATCAAACATCAACATTTACAAACTGAGCACCTTTTTAAACGGTTTCCGAGACCTGTAACCACATCAAGGGATGTTCATGAGCATTTTCTAAATTGGCATGTTCTTTTTTATATTTCCTGTATTTTAGTGTTTGGTCTCTTCTGCTAATGATAACAGGCGCTAACTTAAAGTCGCCATTTTGAATGGCCTACTTGTGAAATAGATAATTACAACCACAGAAAACTTTTTTTCCCGTCACTCTTACGTCTCTTTGTAGGAGTGGCCTTCGGTGCGTCATCGCTGCACTTATCAATAGGAGGCCAGGACGTTCAGCCTGGACCACAACACAGTGCCACTGGCAATCAAATAGTATCTCACCCACACACACACAGGATGTGATCATACTGCATCTTCCTGTGTTCAGTCACATGGAGGAAATCTGCTGACAGTTTATTTTTCTATTTGGATTCTGTCAGCGTGATGGATCACTGGCATGTCATTCAACACTGAGTTTAAAAAGACAAGGAATAGCTTAGTTGTGTATAAGGACTTAAGGGCCAACTTTTACATAGATCTTATTAATAAACTGTGTATTTTATGGATCAAACACAAAATATCTAATATTTTTCTATGGGTTGACATATGAACAACAAGTCCTTACACTCTTTACTCAATATTTTGATGTGTCATATTTTGGAAATAACTTTCAAATGTGTGATTTTGTTTACTTAATACTATTGTTTTTTGGTTGTGTGTGTGTGTATCTGTCCGTTCGTCCAGAGCTAATCTCGTATACTTCTGGATCTATCAGTCTAATATTTCGGTGTACATGTATGACTTTATGCTCTCATGGGTGTGGTCCATCACACTTTTTGAAAAACCTATGTCATCGGCTGTTTCATACCAGAATTAACTGCTTACCCCTCGCTCCTCTTAACCGTTAGGTAAGGGGAGCGAGTCCTCCCCATTACTTCAGTAGCAAAAAGTATAAGTGGCAATTGATCGGCTAAAAACATGCCTAACCTACCAGTTTGGCCTTTTTCGTGGCTTGAAACTGTCATCCATAGATCATTGTAGTTTTTTCTTGAACCAGTGAAACTGCAAATTAATTCCATACAGATATGTTATGACGAAAATCCCAGTTTTTGTAATATTGACGCCATTTTGACGGTACGGGAGCCATTTGAGTGGGATACAACTCTTCATTGTTACGAAGGGAGACACTTGGCTGAGATATTATTACATCTAATATTTATATTCTTTATAAAAGGTTCAATCAGTTTTGAAATGCATCATTTGTGTCACAGGTGAAAGCTCTATAAACAGCAGCTATAGGTAGTCTGGTCCTGTTTTTAGAAAATATAATAAGTAACACCTCTTATACAGATTTGTAAGCCTACATATTTGCAGCTTTACCTTTCCTGGCCACCGTACACATCCCTGTGCTGCTGTAACACCTGAATAATTCGATGTCTTTTATTTCAAAATAAAAGACCAACACATTTCAACTTTTAAAGCGTCTCGTACTGGATAAAGTTACCTTTAAAGTTGAATTCAGGGGTTTTGACTTATATTCCTAAATATGAATAGTCA